ATATATCGCCCCATAGCGCATTTCACGCGCTTTCAGAATATATGCGTACTTTTGTAATAACTTGTTCCTATATTAAAAATATTTTTGAAAAAATGGATGAAGAAAAAAAATGCGTTTCCAGGGAATCTGGCGACGAGGTACCTTTGTTGTACTTGAATTTATTTTTAGCAAACAAGTGCAATTCAAAACGTACATATATAGATTTGTAGAGAATTCCACATGCTATCCGAATATATAATTACGTTACTCAAAATGTTAATTTATAATGATGATATATCAAGAATATCGTGTGACACTATTTTTTTCCAGGGGGATATATGGAAGACAAGTATGAAATCTAGTTGAGATTGAAATAACAGTTTTGTAAATTTTTAGTAAGTAATATTGTTAACATTAAACATAGAAACTTTGTTTATACAGTGTGTAAAAGAATCTTTTTTTGTTTTTCTAGAATGAGTGTAAATTTTCGTTATTGTTTTCTGAAAACAGGGGCATGGGGACATTGAATGATTGCTTTCATTTGATTGAAGAATAAATATTTTCTTTACACATACAATACATCAAATTAGTAATAGACGCAGTTCCGTAAGAATGCAATGGATATAATACTTTACAATCTGCTACTCATTTTAATTCATTGTAATACATGAATATGTCAACACATGATATTGTATGAAGTTTCTAATGAATTATAATGTGTGAAATAGATTGCATTATCAAATAATTGCATCCATTATTTAGAAAGACCGACAATATGGGTAGATGTTTGACAAACGAATATATTCATTTTTTTTCAAAAAACAGCTTTAATTAAGAAGTAATTCTTATTTAGAAGTAAAAAGAAGCCAGACACCATAATTTGTTTACAACTTATATGAATAGAGTCTTTTCCAAGTCAAAGAAACTTCACCAATTTTGATGAAAAAATATAGGACGATATAATTCTTCCTTTGTGTAAGAGTAGTATTTAAGCGTGCATTATATAGAGAAATGTTCACTCTACTCGTCTTTGAATATCCTACAACAACAGTTTTCTTTTTATTATCAAAAAAGTATGTAGACAGTAAAACTCAGGAGCAGGTTGTTGGAACTGTACAGAACCAAATATGGTTCAGGATATTTTGTTTCGATAAATATTTAAGCGATAAGAATCTGTTCTAATTTTCTAAATTGAAACACTGATAGAGTGACTCTTTCTCTAGAAAATACATGCTCGTATCCACTCTAGCACAGAACTAAATAAGTCAAGTCTGGCTTGACTTACGCATCTTTGTATTATGTTAGCATGAGAAGACATTTTTTAGTTTTCAACATGTAAGGATCCTCATCACGTATGGTAACTATATAAAATCACAAGAGATATTGTCTTATATATCAAATGCTACACCATGGATTGATGTTTAAGGAAAGCATTACTTCAGTGTTCAGTCAGATCTCACTAGCACCAATACACGTCTTTATTAGTTTTTTTTTTCCAAGGTTTTAACATAGATTTTATACTTATTTTTAATAATGACCTCTCTTACTTTTCAGTAGAGTGAATAATCGGGAAATGATCGTTAAAATGCATGTTGATTTGTTTGAGAACTATTTTGACCATTTTGTAATCATTGAAACTATTTTTCAGAATTTTGTGCTACCCTTCAATATGTTTATAGTTTCTAAAAATTGCACAATTTACTAGTCTTTGATTACGAGGCATCGTATTTTACACAAAATTCAAGCATGTAGCTCGAATTTCACGTACTGAGTCGATTGAAACATTCAATCGTGAAGTTAGACTTAGGAATAGTGAGAAACAATTAGTTTTGCATGATTTTTAATAATGAATTGACAAATCTCATATTGAAAAGAATCGTACTTTTCATAATATTAATTTTATCTTTAAGTTTTTCAATGAAGATCGAATGCCTATAGTTAAAAATAGAATCATCGATTTTTAAAGACAGTAGATTTTGTTTTTATCCATAAAATATGCAACATATCATAGAAAATTGGTCTAGAACTGTGTTTTATTACTCGTGAATCATGATAGCGATTCTAATACAACGCCCCACATCGTGTATTCCAACTGTCGGAAACAGTGTCTTATCCGGTCTGAAACGGCTATAGAATGACAAATTACTGAACTTATTTTGACCTGATTTCATCCGTACTTCGTCATACTGTTTTACGAGCTGTTTCTTTTTGTTAGAAAACGACCATCGTATTCTCCCGGTTTTGTTTCCGTAATCTGGCATGACGAATTATAGCGTTGTTTTCCTGAACCTACAGTGAATATTTAGAATTTCAAGGTAAAACTATAATTATCTTACATGAAATACATTATAATAAACATACAAAGCTAAAAGTTATCGCTTCATGTCTAAATCAAGTCACGATCATTATTATTCTTATCATTATATTTATTTGCCAAGTAAAAAGAGTCAGAAAAATGAGAACAGAAGCAGTTAACTTTTATTTGATAACACATTTGTGATGACATAAAATGCTCAATCCATGACGTATTAATTTGACGATTTAAAAGCATCTATACAAAACTCATCTTCTCGAATGACACTTTCAAAACGAAATATTCTCAATTATTTTACATAAATATCGCTGATAATAACGAAATCTTGAGCATAACTATGATAGTTTGTTGACATTTTTGACCTTTTTCTTTCGAAGTTTTTCACTAGAAGAGTTTATGGTACTCTAGATCCTTCTTAAAAACATTTCTATATAGACTACTTAGATAATTACTTTCTAATATGACATTATTTTTCGAAACAGTATAATGTAGATTTATACAGTGTCAATTGATACAACCAATTATGACTAAGATATAGTGTTCTGTTTTTCTATGCTGCTTTTTTTTTTTAAATAGAAAGACTGTTTGTTGTCCTTGACAGTTCTTCACATTCTGTTTACTTGTCCATGTTTATAGAAATATCTATGATCAAAATATAGTATAGAACAAATAGATTTTTACAAATATACATGAATAGGTAAGACGAATCATCAAAGATAAACGGATATTGTCGATTTTTCATTACATATTTGAACATAGCGAATATTTGATTAGATATGTTTTAATTTTTTTTCCATCATTCTAGTTTTTCCTTTAGGATTTATATTATTTTGAAAGAAAAAACTTGTAATATATATGAAGAGCGATTGTAAACATATATTCCCCCTGGCAAAAAATAGTTGCACACAGTATTTTTAAATAAATCATTACTATAAATTAACACTATGAGAAAAATAATTACATATTTGGATAGCCTCGGAATTCTCTACAACTCTGTATATAAACATTTTAAATTGCGCTTATCTGCTAAAAATAAATTCATGCACAGTAAAGACATTCTCATGTTCAGATTTCCCCGGAGATGCATTTTTTGCTCCTGTTCATTCATATTTTTAAGTTTACTTTGAATATAGGAACAAGTTATTATTAAAGTAAGTATATATTCTGAAAGCACATGAAATTCTCTATTACTTTGTACTTCTATCAGTCTTGACTTGCAAGTATTCGATGACAAATACTTCGAGTATTGTTAATGTATCCTAATTGTGACGCTCCCACTCTCGATTATTTCACATGAACTCACACAGCATCCTATGAATGATGGTCCAGTAGTTGAATAAGATGTATGGTTAATTATCCATTTGTTAGCTCTGATCTTAGTGTTACTAGAAATGATTGATCTATGATGAACCGCTTTGCACAAAAATATAGCCTAAATTTTCAACAATACCTCACCAGGAATATGATGTGTGGATACATTAACAATACTCGAAGTGTTTATCATCAAATACTTGCAAGTCAAGACTGATAGAAGTACAAGGTAATAGAGAATTTCATTCGCTTTCAGAATATATACTTACTTTAATAATAACTTGTTCCGATATTTAAAGTAAACTTAAAAATATGAACAAAAAGGAGCAAAAAGTGCATTTCTGGGGAATCTGAACATGAGAGTGTCTTTACTGTGCATGAATTTATTTTTAGCAGATAAGCGCAATTCAAAATGTTTATATATAGAGTTGTAGAGAATTTTGCGAGCTATCCGGATATATAATTATTTTTCTCAAACTGTTAATTTATAGTAATGATTTGTTAAAAATACTGTAGGCGGATCGATGTAAAATGATCAATTGACATACATATCTATGCTGTCTTGTAATTTTACATAAGGAAATTTATTACCAGCTATCATATTGAATTTTTAACTTAACTTTAGTTTTATTGTTTTCATTAAGCTGTTCTTAAGTTTCATTTGTCAATATCTTCAAAATAGTTATTTAATAGACAAGGAATATCCATTAAATTAACGAATAATCGAGACTAATAGTCTTTTATATTGTTTCTACACATGAAGCACAACATTTATAGTTTTTATTGAGAATAAATTCTTATCTAAAAATAATTGTATTTTTATCATCATCTTCATATATCCATTTACTAATAGATCTATTTATACCCGAGCAATCAGTGAAATATTTTTTTTCCTTTTCTTTTCTATATTAGTTTTCTGTTTTCTCTGTATCTAAATTATTTAATTGGTTTATTCCTATGGGTCAATAATAATCTTTGTCTTAAAACCAAAAAAAAATAATGCTCGAAAAGGAAGAAAATAAAATAAATTAGATTTTCTTGAAATGCACATGGCCGACATAGTTGCAACATTCCACTTGTGTTTTCATTTAACACAACTGAGAATGTGTTACATTGTAAACAAAAAATATTGATTATAAAAAAGCTATTCTCTGCTTTTGAGTTAGAATTTTTTTTCTTTCGAATAAATTATTTGTGCAATTTACTAGAGTACTCTACCTCGTCTCTCATATGTCTCTGAGTTAAATAAAGAAGTACTTTCATTTTTTTTTCAATTTATTTGGAATGACATTGAGAATTAGATTTTATGCTGACTTGTAATATCTAAGACATCAGTCGTAGACTATAGTAGGTCTCTACCATAATGAAGAAGTCTATTTTATACCCTGTATTGAATAAAATCGTGCGATATATTTTAAGTATATTGTAATCAATTTCTGCTTGTTGACTAGTAAGTTATATTATCGGTTGATATCAATGAAGAAGTATGTGAACAGTAATTATATAAAGAATGCATCGAGTAAAATATGTACAATATCTCTTGTACGAAGAAGAGAAGAAGCCAAAAGATGACTTAAGGATCTAGAATTCTTAGCACACAATTTTATCATTCGTTTACTAATGAAATATTTATAGAGGCGTTTCTACTTTTCTTAAGCATCTATTGTAATCCATTAATAACATTCCTGTGTACATAAAGTATTTTCATGTTCTACGTGTGATATGTACATAAGACCTAACTGGCAATGTTGTCCGAATTAAATTGGAAAAGCTTTGTATATTGTTTGTTTAAATCAGAATATACTATACTTTATGGTTTAAAATATTTCCTACAGTTTCCGCCGTATCTATCTAACACGATCGTGTAATTATTTTTTTACCATATTCTCGTGCCTTCATACTGAAATAGGCTCTGTTGTTTCATTTAAATCCTCTAACGATTGATAGATTCCAAGTAAAAAAAAAACATATTAGTTCTCATTTCTATAACAGCGTTTGAAAACTTCACTTATAAAAATTTGATTCAAAGTATTAGTTAAAATAATCTCCTGATAAGCCCATGATGCAATTAGACAATTAAAACACATTATAAAATTGATCGTAAAAAATTATATTCCATATTGTGCACTTAATTTCATCTAATGTTTACGACCCATACGAAACAATGGAAATAACTCTAATGGATGAGAAAAATATTTTGTTCTTTAGATGATTGAGTAGAGTCTTCATTCAGACATTAGCACGATTAATACTAAGAAAAAATGATGTGCTTAAAATAGAATGTGTCATGCTATACAACACTACAGTAGTTAGTTTTAAGTCTGAGAAAAATTCAAATATTTTTAGCTGAATTTTCTTAGAGTACATTCTAAAGTGGAATATGATTGTTTGCATCAAAATTTGAGATAGCACCAGAGAATATCTCAAGTCAGATCTGCAGCAAGAAATTAAATGAAAGAAATAAAGATAAAAATAAATAAGATCTAGTTGTATATAAAATTATATAAGAAACTAATTTATGTCTATTTTTTATTTATCTAATAATTTATATATATATATATAGATGGAATGTTGTATATATTGTATCTTCAGTTCAATACAGCTTTCGAGTCTTCCGAATCATTATCAATATTACTTCTATTAGTTTGAAGCACAATAGTTCAATGATGAAGTTAATGATATTGATACTGACTCGAAAGGCTCGAAAGCTCTATTCAATTGAAAATTCAATATATGTACAACATTCCATCTATATATAAAATTTATTAAAAAAAAAATAGACATAAATTAGCTTCTTATGTAATTTCATGTATAATTTTAAAGATAAAATAAAAATCTAGATAGAGATTGCAACGAGAAAATGCCATTAAAATGACTCGAAAATTAGTAAAAATAATGATGAAAAACTGTCACAAAAAATTAATTTTCTGCAGGGCATTACAATGATTGCTTTGAATCAAATGAGAATGATTTAAAAAATAACATTTTAATGCCTTACAGAAAATTCATTTTATTATGACAGTTTTTCACCATTTTTTTTTAATTACTTTGTATGGCATTTTTCTATTGCAATCTCTGCTTGCGGAGTTTACTGATTATAACATTAAAAAACATTACCATGTCAAATAGGAATCGTTAAATTTTTATGAAAAACTATGAACATTTCATGTAATCCTATTGCTTTCAATAACTGAAGGAAAATATCCGTGCGTTAGCTTCACAAACAGATTCGATAATGAAAAACATCTGAAACTAAGACAAATCTTGTAATAAGAAAAATTTCATATTTTCCAGATTAATTCAATAGCAAAAAAGTCTAATGGTGGATCCACGCATTCAGCTTATCGCTCTACTCATGCGAACAATATTACCTCCAGTTATAATTATTGGAATCATTGGAAATTTACTCAATATCATTGTGCTCAAAAGATCTGGACTGTACAATTATTCATGTTCTCGTTATTTTCTCGCACTTGCTAGCAACAACTTATTCTTCTCAATCTTTTTTCTTATGTTTAATCTTTTGTCCAATGGTTATCAACTAGATCCAACTAGCAATTCTCGATTATGGTGTAAAATTATTCTTTATTTTCAGCAATTATCTATCGCACTGTCACCTTATTTTATAGTATTAGCTTCAATTGATCGATATTTTAGCAGTTCATCAAATACTCAACGACGAAATCTCAACAATTCGATTCTTGTTCGATGGTCTATTTTGTCTGTTTTCACTTTTTTTTCACTTTTCTTCATTAGTACTTTGGTACTACTCGATGTACAACCAGGCCAAGCGATTCCATGCCGTATTTCAACAACAACACCTTATGGTCGTGTGTATCCAACTATACAAGCAGTTCTTATAAGTTTTGTTCCTCCGTTTCTGATGCTAACCTTTGGCCTCCTGACCATATACAACATAAAGACGCTTCGTGTTCTTCCTACTACATCTTTGCGATCTCGTCGCACTGAACATCAACTTGTTCGCATGCTTCTTGTCCAAGTGGGTTGTTATGTTTTACTTTGCGCTCCAATGTGTGTGGTTTATACTTTGGGCTTTATGCCTGTTCAATACTTAAGTCCCATCGAATATTACTTTATTTTTAAAATAACTCAGCTTGTCTATACCTTATCATATACTACATCCATCGTCTTGTATTTTCTATCGGCTCGTATATACAGAAAAGAACTTGTGAGTGTTATAATGAAAATTTTTCGGCTCAATCCTAAAAATCAAAATACGGCAATTGATCAAACTGCTCAAACAATTTCAAAGAGGTTTTTCAAGGTTTCACGAGTGGGCGTACAAACTACTCCTGTCATTGAACTAATGTAATTTACTGTATTCATATTTGTTCATTGTCAAACTTAAAAAGAATTCTAATTATTTTCGATGTTCGATGTAAACAAGACATATTTTTTAAATTGATATTGATACAAGTTCAAAAATTGGAAGTTTTATGCTAACATACACTCTTTCAATGTTACAATTAATGAAAATTTTTGTACAGTTAGCAAGCCTCTGAAATGATCATTCATTTCTTGTTAGCCGCCAGTTGTAGCTCCGAACAGATATATTCAGTCTGATACAAGATTTTTGAGCGCCATATATCATTAATCAGTCATATACTAACAGCATAGAATGCTGTATGCATACCACATATAATATATTGTTCAGTAGTTGGTTCGAAACTTTAAGCCGCATACATGCTTGTTCAAGGTTATCACATAATTTGCTAACATCTAGGTTCGAATATGGCACTATTATTATGCATGTTGCATAGTGAAATCATTTAATAACTGTCTCAATAATAATGAAAATGAGATCTTTTTTCATTGGAATTTGTTTGGATATTTTAATGATATAAATAGAGCTGGAAAAAAAAACGTGTAACAATCACAAGCGGATAAAAGTATAACGACTAAAATTTCGTTTGAATAAAAAGATGAAAGGATTCAAACAAAAACTACTTAGCGTGTTCTCTATTGGGAAATCAATCAGGGAATTTGTGGACGAACTTCGTATCCTGATTATTATGAAAGACAAACTTTATTAACTAATTTTATATATTAACAAATTTTTATGTACTCATCAATTATTTTCCTGAAGTTTTACGCCTACTTGCTAGGGTGCATACAGATAGATTGAACAAATCTAAATTTGACATTGCTAATTGTATGTACTCGACAAATGAGTCATAAGTTGCTTGAATTCCAATGAAAAAAAAAGAACTTTTTTCCACCTTAATTATTTATGTACAATTAAACTAATGTCCTATGCAGCTGCTACTTTTCGCAATCAGACCCGAACCGGAGGTAAATTCTATGTTTTTATATAAATTATCAGTTTGAAATGTCAAGATCTCATTAATTTTCGGATATGATTTCATACTCGGAACCCTACCCGATATTTTTTTTTTATTCATGTCCGACACCGGAACCGACCCGATTACATGCGACTAAATTGAACATTTGATTAGTTCCCTTGAATAATCTTAAAATGATTACATAAATACAAATCATGTTTCGTCAAGTTCTAGACACAAAATTTTGTCGAAGAACACTTTATTTTGGACAAACGAGAACCGAAGCTCGACAATAGAAGGCACTAAAAGGTTCAGAAAAAAAAAGAAGAAAAATAATGTATTACAAAAAAACGAAAGAAAAAAATACAAAATCATTTCACATTCACAAACAAAAAGGTTTTAAAGTCAAGGCACATATTTTCCTTATATTTTAACTTCAGGTAATGTCATTTGTTCTAATCGTTTACTAACATTTGTCATAAATGGCATTTTAAAATCATTAAAATCAACTTCCCAACCAAGACGATCACGTACAACAGCTTTTTCTTGCATAAGTTGTGTTGTTGTTGGTAAATCAGTCCATTTTGTTTTTGGATGAAAAGCAATTGATTCGGTATTTTCAAATGATTTAGCTAATTCAGCAGCTGCACGTAATAAAGAACCACGTCGTGGTTGTTGAACGGCTGATGTTTGTTGAGTAGCTGCTGCTGCTTTTGCTTGCTAAACAAAATAAAAATATATATAATGAAAAGTATTGTTGCTTTTTTTTTTATATGAATTTAGTTACTACATCTGCTTTGGTACTTTTCACTGCTGAATGTTGTCGTTTCTTTGCTGATGCTGATCCACTTTTTTTTCTTGTAGCACTTTTAGGTTTACCTCCACCGGTAGCATTAACTTTTTCATTAATTAAATGATAAATACGTGGATCAGCAAATTCAGCAGCAACTGTTAATGGTTCTAAACCGGATATATTTTCATGTGTAACTTTAGCACCTTTATTAATAAGATATTCGCAAACTGGAAATGATGAACATTCAATAGCACGCATTAATGGCGTTGCTTTTGTTACTGATTCAGCATTTATTGCTCCACCTGCCTCGACAATGGCTTGAACAACATCAAGAATACCACTATGTGCAGCATGATGAAGTGGTGTCCATTTAAAATTATCTACTTTATTAACATCAGCTCTGAAAATAAAATATTGAAAAAAGAAGAATTAATTTTTTGTTATTGTTGTTGTCGTAAGTTACCCGCATGTGAGAAGGAATTGAACTGTTTTCAGATCACCATGAGCACATGCTAGAATCAATAATAGATTTTATTTTTAATTAAGAAAAAGAAATATGAATATATGCTGAATTACTTACCCACCATTAATGGTGTTTTCATAAATTTGTCTGTTACATCTATTTGTGTGCCTCGTTTAAATGCATCCAATAATGTTTGTAGATCACCTCGATAAGCTATTAAATGAAAAACAATAATAATAATATTCTGATTATTAATAGGTTTTTGTCTAACCGGCATCACATAAATTAACATAACCTTTATCAGGTTTATCTAAATACCATGGTGAATCATCTTCTAAAGGATTTTTCGGTAAATTATCTCTTGAAAATCTTGTATTGTCTGTATGATGAACATGTTGTGGTGCATAAATTACTGGTGGATTACCATTTGCTGTTCGAGGACCTTCATCTTGAATACCAACTAAAGAAAAATATATATAATTTTATATATTTTTGAAGAAATTTTTTCATTAAAAAATGACTTACTAGGTAAAGCACCTTTTTGTTTTTTGCCTTTTTTTGGTTTCTTCTTTTTTTTCTTTTTTCCTGCAAATGCAGCCATTAAATAAGGTTTTGTTAAATATTTCTTTCCAGTAAAAAATGCTTTATAATCAAATTCATTTCGATCTTTTTCATGTTTTTCGCATATATCTTTAATATCATCTGGCTTAAGACATGAAAGATAACTTTCATCTTCAAGAATTTTTTTAACACTCTCCGTTGGTATAACACCTGTTTTTGGATCAGCAACATCAAGTTCTTCAAACATTTTTTCAAGTCGTTCTTGATTTTCATATACATAATCATAGAGCATTAATTTCCAATCACGAAAATCATCTAAATATTTTACAAAAAATATTGTTATAAAAATTAATATTAACAAGAGAAGTCTTTCAACTACGATGACTTTCGATTTCATCTATCTTTTTTTGTTTTTCAATTCAAATTCGAGATTTTTTATTCGAAAGGATTAATCGAGACGAAAAAAGAATCATTCCTATGTGTAAGATATTCTTCTCTTATGTTCAAGAATGAAGAAAAGGAAATATTTTTTTAATCCCTGTGAATCAATAAAAATAAAAATATTTTAGAAAACATGTGACATTAAGTTTATGATCGTCGATGAAAAACTAATCATTACATATAACATGATATTCATATTTAAAATCATATCTAAATCTTCACTTAGTATATATCTCAACAAGCTTCTTTTAAATACAGTATTATAATTGATAAATCTTGTCATTGATAAATATCATGTAATATTCTATTTCATTTCTTCAATATAGATTGATAAACTTCATGATTGTCATTTCTATGTATACATACTTATTATATATAAAAATTGATGATTATCGTTAGTAAATGCGACTATCGAATAACGTTTGAGTAGCGTATAATTATAACTCATAAAAAAGTCATTAATAAATCGTGATTTTCACTACATGGGATGATACGGTTATGTTAAAAGCATTTTTCATAATAAATTATTCAATCTTTGCACAAAATTCTAAGTTCAAATTCGAAAATCAATTTTTCCAATGTTTCTGATGAAAAAATCGGCTTTGCTTTAAAAACTATTGTAAAAATATTGAGTCTCTCTCTACAGCAATAAGCTAAGAGTTTGGGAATCTTTTTAAGACATTCATAAGTCATTAGAACCCAAACTATGCACATAGACTCAATTCTAAAACGATTAATTAGTAGAAGAACTTTTGTCTCTCTCATATAAGATAGATTTACCTGGACGTAAATTGGCTGTCATATCATTATAACCCTTTTCTGCTTTTCGCATATTTTTCTTTGCATCTTTTGCTTTATTTTGATCGGCAATCTTTTTTGGAATAAGTCCTTCAAGATTTTTAGTTTTTTGATTACAACCTAAAAAAA